AATGGTTTACATAACTTTCGATCGTTGCTGCAGTCATGTTGCCAGCGAGTCAGTTGATGTATAAAACCATGCAAATAGGCTATCCTTGAACACTAAGTAAGCACAAGATTCAGGTTTTACTTGTCATACTGTAAGCACATTCATCTTTGACAGCTTCATTATGTTGTTTTAGAAAAAGTGTATCGCAAAACATAGAACTAACGTACAAATCCACCACTTACACACGGAAGCAGTCGATTTGCCTTAAGGCGAATATAAGCGCCCTTAAAACCGAGAAATGCTAATGATATTTGGAAATATAATGCCGTCAGCAAGAAAGTACTCCTTTTCAAGAAAAAATAAATCTCATAATTCCTTCTGTCACTCCTTATTACGATGCACTAGAACCGTTGGTTGTTTGTTCTATTTGGTGTGCATAAGACGACATGTTGTTTCGTGTTGTGAAGAAAACAACATGGCACAACAGCATTACCACTTATTGCATTTTTAGCAGAACTTACGTAAGATGGCCAGACGCTTTGAAAACATGTGACCTATGAATGGTGTATATGTATATATGAATATATTTGATGTATATTTTATCAATATTCAAGTAGATCCTGCCTTTCCCGAATATATTCACAGCTTTTGAGATGCGATCGAGCCGTATGAAGATCAGGGTACGACATTAAGGCTTTCAAAAGTTTTACGGCTGAGATCATTTCAGAAGTTTTAGGCACCAGTGACCAATATTGATGTCCAATGTAATTTCCAATATTTAATTGTAACATATGGTCCCGTGTTAGTTCAGTTGAACACTTGACTTGCCTTTACATGTATTTGTGACTGGATATCGCCCAGAATCAGGTCCAGGACATAAAACTTGTATTGTTTACAGACATGGGCATTTTAGAGAGAACTCTAAAGAACTCGGAGAACTTTGATGGATATTTCAACATGGAAGGTAAGCGCTTGATCCGTGATCAAATTCTCCCCATTAATTCCTTACTACAGAGCCTCATCACGTTGTCAACTATGTTAAAGCTCTGCCTGATACATCATAGATCACTGCCAATCAACACACGTGTAATACATGCGTTATAATAGAAAATATTGGATGTAGTGAGATAGCAACAAGTGGGGTACAATTAACAGCAACAAAACCATTTCATAATTTATATGAAATCTCCGCTAAAAGCGGACCTCGACTCCATGTATATCATTGATGTGTTTTCAGTAATGACGATCAAATAGTAACGCCAGGTGTACAAGCCAAAATGTGAACCTATCACTCCGTCTTTATGTTGTTCTCATGCTGAATGCCTCATCATTTATAAACAAACTAGACTCCTAGCTAAAGCAAATGTACTCTACTACAGCAGGGCAAAGGATACAATCCTCCCGTATAAATAACTGCCGACCTAGTGTCAAACACCGCTGACTCGAGCTATGTGTCAAACTTACTTTTGTCTCGAACTAAATACTTGGTCCCAGCGGTGAAAAGCGCTTGACTGTATATTTTTATGCAAATCCCAGCTTATGTTCAGCATGATTGCTAAAAGGCATACATCCACATACATAGTAGTAAAATGAAACCACTGCAACCGTTTTCAGCCTAGTAATGTTTTGATAATCTCCATAATGTTTTGGTTACAGCCAATTTTCAAGTATATATTTTCTTTTGCCGGGCAGTGGAAAGTGTACATCATGGTAGTCCATGGTAGACTGACCAACCTTTTGTTTTCTTGAAGAATGAGGACAGTTTTTATGGATATACAACTTCTTTATTCTGTATAGGCGACGTTTTGACATATATTCTAATGTCGTTGTCAATCAAGTTACATTAGAATCAATGTCGAAACGGCGCCTATACAGAATAAAGAAGTTGTAGATCCATAAAACTGTCCTCATTCTTCATCTCCTCAACTTTTAGCATGCCAATCAAAGAAGTCGTTTGTATTTTTTTGTGTAAGCCACATTCAGCAGATATATCCCAGCTACAAGTAATGTCGTCTGTAAATAATCGAGTCTGCACCAGCTACGTTCATGATTGATGTTTTAGTCCATGCGGTGACCCAACCTGTTTCGTCAGCGACCTGGCCCCTCTAACCAATTCATCGCCCCCTATCACATGCAGTAATTGCTTGTGACCCTGTACCTCCACTATTGACTCTGCACGGTAACGCCGTTTTGTCACGGTTAGACCTCGTCTGACAGCTACGACAAAGGTAAGGATATGCTTGATCTTTTCTTGAACACCTGGTGTCATTTTCGGTGATCATTTTCTCAGCTGCGAAGCCTCTTGCTACCCGTTGAATTGTTTCGTACTTGTAAGATAATCTATCTCTGATATTCTCTGAGAAAATTTTCTTTGTTTTGATTCGGTATTGCAATTGTATTTTGCAATTTTCTTTGTTTGGGGTTGTTGTTCGGTGCTATGGTCATGATGATGTAATGAGCACGTATGCAGTCACTAACCTTTATTTCATGATCACGTTTGTGGCCTACATTAATCTACAGTTTGGAGTCACCTTCTAGATCTATTAACCAAAGTACATGTTTCATTTGTTGTAGCTGACGCTTAATTTCAATTCGACAGGGTACACGAAACAGGCCCGAAAAAGGATGATTTAATTACATCAAAAGAGCACGATCATTAATAACATTAATAAACATAACACACAGGCGTAAACATATGCATTACATACAGATTATTGAAACCTGAAACGTGTTTACTTTTTTTTTTCAGAATACCAATTGGGTTATTCTGAGCGTTACTGTCTCAAGTGCCCTTAAATCAAGATGTCCAAGATGAGGCCTCGACCTCGATCTGCATCAGATTACCGATATCAGACGGTACTATGGAATTAGCATATCAACATTAACATGACTTCAGTAAGAGGTTATCCGTGTTAAAGAATTATATATATCGCTCGTAGATCAGACCCATACTAACCACGCCTCATTGTTCCTCGAAGGACAAGCATTCTTGAAATTTACAAATGCATGTCAAATGTGGCCGTTGGTAGACCTACCAACAATAACATTCATTAACGAATAATCCACTGATGCCATCTATCCCATTCCGCTGGACTGTCTTCACATGGGGTGAAAAGGGCAGAGAGCAAACACCAGAATCAATCATTCTACACTGGACCATACTATCTCTGATAACGGATCCACTTGCTTTGTTGAGATTGGAAGTACTGTTAGTTGGTCCGGTAATTGTATATGTGGTTTGTGATGAAAGTACTTTCACTGCAACTTCCATGTGTCCATTGATATTCCCTGTCCCACAAGGTTTTAAAACATGTTTGCGTGACAAGAAGTTACATTTTCGAAAGCTTTCAAAGCATGAACTTAGTATTCAGATCCAAGGGAAAATGTTGGCTGATTGCTCTTCAATCCTGAGATGCTGTTGTTGGTTTTTGAAGATTAGAATGCAGATTTTCAAAACCAATTCTTTTCTATGGGATGCTGGTGAATGCTTTAAATATTCATGTTTCTGAGAAGATCGATGGGTTTGAAATTCAAGGAATTTCCTAATTATTTTTATTTCCTTGTGGCATGTTAAAGAGGCGGAGTCGTATGACTCGTGGATTTGGTAACAAGTCTGAAATTAGGAACGTGAGTATTTCAAGCCTAAAGCTAAAACATTTAACGCGAATATGTGTTTGGTTTTGGTTTTATGTACAATGTTAAAGCGGAACAATGAGGTCTGATGATCGTGTCGTTAACGTCATTTTCGATGACAGAAACTAGAGTGCTTTCTTTTCATAGCTGCAGTTATGAAATCTGCAAATTGCACTGAGTCGTAATTGGACGTTTACAACAGGCTTTATGGGGTGAAGGTAACCAAGCAGTTAAAACATTTGCTCGTCACGCCGTTGGCCTTGTTTCATTCCCTAGACTTGTACATTGCATGAACCTGAGAAGATCCGGATTAAAATCGGTCAGCAATCCATGCTTCTCGAATGAAGCAACTTGTGAGTGAGTGAGTGAGTTTTACGCTGCTTTAACAATATTCCAGCAATATCACAGAGGGTACAAAAGAAATCGACTTCACACATTGTACCAATGTGAGGAATCGAACCCGGATCTTCGGCGTGACGAGCAAACGCTTTAACCAATAGGATACCCCCTGAAAGAGGCAACTAACGGGATCCGATGGTCGGGCTCGCTGTCTTTTTAATGCATCCCAATACTTCGATCGAAGCTCCACATTTGTCGACATTGAGCAATTTCGGCATCACTTCGTATCTTCACGTTAAAAGAAACACATTACAAAGTGGGAACATTATGTGTAACTTGTTGTTTTCTTTTAAATATTCCCTCACTTCCATGTCATTGGTTGTCACACTGTGCCAGCAACTGTTTTTGTCGCTGCAAGCTTCTGGTACTTGCCATGTTAAGAAAATACTTTGGAAATTATATTATAACAAAACCTCACTTGAAAGCTTCGTTGTTATTAAGCGAGGAGTATCAAATAATTTCAACAAAACCTCAATAGAGTTCTTTCATGAAAAAACACGCATACAATATTGATTTTTCACACCACTAGGTGACTAATTAGAGAGACACAATGCGTTCCTCGTGGCCATCAGCAGTCAGACCCCATCCCGATGCCCGGTAGGGGGACTGCGTGTATGGAAATGAGGACACAGTCGCCATCAGTGACTCACTTTCAGTCTCTAGACATGTTCACATGCAGTTGATTTGGAGCTACATGTATGTTGTCCGTGGAACCGTATTAACCAATACTTGTGTTTGTGTTATGCTAATTGTGATTTTGTTTTCATTATTTATTCATGATATAGTAGAAGAACGTTCTTCTATTGATGACTTGGGAGTTGTTATTTCTCATGTACGTTTACTTCTGTTATTATTTGCGGATGATATGGTGCTCTTTAGCAATAGTATTAAAGGTTTACAAGACGGTTTGGATATGATGTTTACCTACTGCACGAAATGGGGCTTGACCATAAATACTGAAAAAACAAAGGTTATTATTTTTCGTAAAGGAGGTAGACAAGGCAAGGCTGAAAAGTGGTCCTATAATGGTTCACCTCTTGAGGTAATCAATAGTTTTAAATATCTTGGTTTAGTATTTTCAACAGGTGGCAGTTTTTCACAAGCTCAGAAAATCCTATCAGAACAAGGTTTGAAGGCACTTGGTTCATTGTACAATATATTCAATGATAATGTGTACATTACTCCAGATATTCAGTATCAGTTATTCCAATCAGTTGTTTCTCCTATTCTCTCATATGGTTGCGAAGTTTGGGGCTTTATGGAAGCTAATGCTATCGAAAGGGTACACTTGAAATTTATGAAACATATATTATATGTCAAATGTCAACTTCATCAACTTTCTTATATGGAGAATTGGGTACATTCCCTTTGAAAGTTATTCCTCTTGTCAGGATTATCAAATATTGGCTTAAGATTTTGTAAACCAGATAGATATAAAGTTTTGATATATAATTCATTATTGAATAGTTCAAATGAGAACCATGATGTTGAAAATTGGGCAAGTTTATTGAGAGATACGCTCTTCAGGTTTGGTTTTGGTTATATTTGGGTTGCCCAATATGTTCCTGAAAGTTGTGATTTTGTGAGAGAATTTACACAAAGGGCTAAGGACATTTATTCTCAAATGTGGAAACATCAATTATCAACTCTGAAACTAGATTGTATCTTCATATTAAGGAAACTCTGTGCATCGAGAAATATTTAACTAATATTGATGTTAGGAAGTACCGAATTGCGTTTACACGTTTCCGACTCAGTTCACATATGCTTATGATTGAAAAAGGAAGATGGAGTGTGCCTAAAATCCCACTTGCTGATAGATTATGTCCCTTTTGTACTAACGAAATAGAAGATGAGTACCACGTACTCTTGATTTGTCCAAAATATCGAGAAATACGTAAACAGCATTTAAGTAATACTTTATTGGAAAATATAAGTATGTTTAAGTTTATCACATTGTTAAAATGTGAAAACAGTTCTGAAATATTGAAAGCTGCAAAGTGTATTTATTATATGTTAAATGAAAGAAACAAAATTGAATTTTTGTAAATCGTTCACACATATCCTCACTCTTGGGCAATAATGATAATAACAATATGATTGCTCTCTATATACGTACCTCGCCATGTGCACAGGCGAATGTTCAGTATATTTATATTGTATTGGTCTTTGACCTAATACAAATCTTGTCTTGTCTTGTGTAATGTTTTTAAATGTATCATTTTTGACAACGCCACTTTTAGCAATATTAGAGCAATATCACGGCGGGGGACACCAGAAATGGGCTTCAAACATTGTATCCATGAGGGGAATCGAACCCGTCTTCGGCGTGACGAGCGAACACTTTAACCACTAGGCTACCCCAATGTCTCTGACACATGAGTAGAGACATCGACTATAAAAGGCCAAATCAAATTCATCATTTCATTACGAAATTTACGACGTGAACGAAGATAATAAATGCCAAGATTGAATGATACTGACCAAAATATCGCCATTGGATGTTTGGAAGCAGACTGTCCCAGACTGCCGTTGCAAGACACTTCAACGTCCAACACAGCACCATATCTCGATTATGACATCGATATACCCGCTTCCATTCGCCCCAAGATCATCCCAAAAGTGGAAGACCAAGGCGTTCGACAAGTGGACAGATGTGGTCGTGAAACGTCATGGTGTGGGGAGCCATGTCCTACACGTGTAGATCAGAGCTAGGTGGTTCAAGGCAATCTTACTTAATCGCTACATCGACCAAATCCTGCGAGCTGTTTCAACACGACAACGCTCGACCCCACACAGCTCGTGTAACAGGTACCTATCTCGCCAATGCAAAGGTCAATGTCCTGCCATGGCCTTCCAAATCGTCTGATCTGAACCCGATCGGACACTCATGTGACGAACTTGATCGACGCGTCCGTAAACTTGATCACCATCGTCCTCGGACACTTGCAGAACTTGCCAACGCGTTGCATGAGGAAAGGCGATAAATTCCCCAAGCAAAAATCCAACGACTTGTGCAATCCCTTCCAAGCCGAGCAGTCGAGCAGTGACGGCTGCAAGAGGTGGTGTCACCTAGTACTGACCTGAGCGCCCCCTTGTGTCCACACATGTGCAGTGAGTGAACTGATTATAATGCTGACAATGACAACAATACATATGTTCATCCATGTCTCGAATTTCCTTCAATTGTTCAAGCATAATCGACTTATGTACACTTAAATACGTTCAATACATTTCCTTATTTTTTGCCTATGCGTTTCCTTTTGTGAAGAGAGTATTTGCTCAAGCCCCTTCAGCCTCGACACAATCGTGTTTGTAGATGAAATGGTGTACGTGAAGGGAAATGAAACCAGACTTGTTGGAGGTTACTGAAATTTTAAGTTTAGGATGGAATGTAAAATAAGTTTAATCTATCAATTCCCTTTTTCAACAAGTTTCAAAGTCGTGAAAATGCGGTCTTTGCTTAACCCTATGAACACGTTTTGCCCAAGGTATAACCGGTGATAACCTTATCAGATCCTAACTGACTTACGTCATATTCCAGTTGACCTTACTTGCCCAGACCCACTGAATGCCTGGTGAACTCTTCGCTAGTTACGAGCCTCCATGAGACGTCATCTTTAAACCTGATTAGTTATTTTTATCGATTAAATCTTTTGAGAAAAAGCACTCATAGTTTTATTAACTCATGTTGTAGTATGGTGTATTCCGATATGCTTCAGGGAGATCTGACTTCCAACTGTTGATATACACGATTTAGAATAAATAATTCAGCATTAATGATGATTTTGAATCTCTGTTATTTTGTCCACCCGCAAGGTTGGGGTTAGAATTGATCTTCAGCAACCCATGTTTGTCGTAAGAGGCTACCATCGGGATCGGGTGGTCAGACTCGCTGACGCATTCCAATTGCGTAGACGATGTTCATGGTGTTTGAATTGTCTGGTCCAGACTCGATTATTTACAGACCGTTGCCATATTGCTGAGTGCGGCGTAAAACTAAACTAACTCACTCACACACTCACTCACTGGTCATGATATATGATGTCGCATGTGATTTAGAGCAATGATTTACATGGATATAAGTGGCTGTGGTCTCCTGAAGTGAATGAGTATAGTTTTACGTCGTGGTGACAAGTGAATGTTTTAACTACTGAGTGAGTTTAGGATTACGCCGCACACTGCAATATTCCAGCTATATGGCGGCGGTCTGTAATAATCGAGTCTGGACCAGACAATCCAGTGATCAACAGCATGAGCATCGATCTGCGCAATTGGGAACCGATGACATTTGTCAACCAAGTCAGCGAGCCTCACCACCCGATCCCGTTAGTGGCCTCTGACGACAAGCATGGGTTACTGAAGGTTTAACCCGGACCTTCACAGTTTTTTAACTACTAGTTATTGAGTGAGTATTTTTTTTACGCCGCTTTAGTAATATTCCAGGTATGTCACGTCAATGAAAACAAGAAATGAAATGTATAGATTTTCTAGCAATACTAGTGCTGTATCACTGCAGAGGACACAGATATGAACTTTACACATTGTACCCACCTAGGGAACCCAACCCAGATTTTCGGCGTGACGATTGAACGCTTTGGTCACTAGGACACAACGCCACCCCCATATCCTTAACTGGTCAGTTTAAAATACAAATAATTACCACTGTCCCTGCAAGTCTCCGCTCCCCCTAATCAGTTCCTCGCCCAGACCCCCTCCCCCTCTTCATATCCTCACCTAGTTCTTTTACCCCAAGGCACGGCCGATATTCCATATCACAAGGTCACGCCAGCTACTTGTGGCTCGTTAATAAGCCAGAGTAGAACAGCATTGCAGGGCTGTTGTTATCGTCGTCGTACGAAGCAGGCGGTGTTGTCATCGCCCTCAAGGATACAGTATTTTTGGATGTCGAAACGCTGGTTTCGATGTTTGGTGCCGCAAATTGGCTGACTTCTACCAGAACCAGGGTCCTCTCCCCGAGCCCCCGGCTCAACGTAGATCAAAGACGTGGAGAGGATAACAACGTCAATCGGCAGTCACAAGTCTTCCATCTCCACAATCATCTTTTTGTTCATTTAGAATCTCAAATGTTATTGTCTGTTGAGCTGGTGTATCCTCCCTTGGAGAACGTACTATGCGGCGGGCTGAATTCCATTTCTTCGTAAATTAGGTTTTAGGTGATGCAGAATAACAGATAAAGAAATCCTTACGTTGTGATTGGCGATTTGATCCTGGTTGATATGACTCACTAAGCCCCAAAGAGGTACCAATATATTCTAGGCATGCATATGTGGGACACATTTATGCCAGCGGTTCTGAAGAGACTGAAAAGGTCATATACGCAATGCCGTTTTACGCCGCTGTGGTCAGTATCCCAGCCATAAAATCTATAAGGTACAAAAGTGGTTGATAACATGAGCAAACTTTGCATTTTAAAAAACGGTGTCACACACGCCTCGGGATTATCAAACGCGCTGTTAACACCCAATTAGACCCGTGACGGTCCTGATTAGAATTGGTCTTCAGCTACCCATGCTTGTCGAAAGAGGTGACTAACGGGATCGTGTGGTCAGGCTCGCTGACTTGGTTGACACATGTCAACGTATCCCAATTACGAAGATCGATGCTCGTTTGTCTGGTCCAGACTAGACACTTAACAGGCCGCTTCCATATAGCTGGAATATTGCTGATTAAACAACAAACACCAATTACACTACGTCAGTAAAGTACGGTTATAACGAATTCAAACTGATTTTAAGTTCGACAAAACCGTAATTCGTTATACGCAGTTAGACTAAAAATTAACCATTTCGCTATAAGTTCGTTATAAGCGTATTCGTTACAAGCGTATTCGTTATAAGTGTATTCGTTATAAGCGTATTCGTTATAAGTGTATTCGTTATAAGTGTATTCGTTATAAGTGTATTCGTTACAAGCGTATTCGTTATAAGCGTATTCGTTATAAGCGTATTCGTTATAAGTGTATTCGTTATAAGTGT